CCTTTACCGGTGCAACATCGAACAACCCATAGGGTCACTATGTATGTGAAGAAACTTCAGTTTGGAGAGGATCAAGTAAGATGTTTTGTTTACACTTGTTATCCGTACATGAACTTTAATCTTATATTTGAGGTCTTTCTTTACTCTGATCATCTAGTATGTTTTTTTTATCATCTTTAATAATACTTTTTTACTTCAAGAGTGATTGTTTAAATAGGAATGGTGTCAATGATTTTGCGGAGTTTATTTTTTAAAGCCTGTTGACAATGTCAATAGTGACATTTAGAAGTCTTAAGTTACTTTGTAGCTACTATTTGAGACTTCCTTTCACTGTTTTCAACTTAAAACACTTTGGATCATAATGAGAAGTTAAATAAAAATTGTGAACATTGAGCAAACTTATTTGTCTTCAAAATGTAGGGATCTAAGACTTATCTCAACTTATGCAATTCAAGTGTGAAAGTTAAAGCGATGATAGACTACATTATGTTGCTGCAGGCACCTGTTGACTCAGACTTGAAAAGAAACTTTTGTGTACGTGCTGAGTCGTCTGCGTTCACAATTTTCAGACTTGTCAATTCAAAAGGTGCGTGGGGTATAATCAGCCACGAATGAATGGTTTAATTTGTCATGTGAATAAGAATAGTGGAGGTCAATTGATGTGTTTAAAATATCTTCTCTGGTATATAACATTATCGTGCTGGGTGACAGCTTGAGATATATGTAGTCATGTTTACACTTAATTTGCTGTTAATGTTGTTTATTATGTATTAACAGGCTTCGTTCAAAGTTCGAAATTTGTAAACTGTATGACCTAATGTCTATTCATCTCCATTAGTTCACTTAATAATTAATTACATTTAATCACCTTTTGCTATTTTAACATTGACGTCACATTCCAGACATTAAAAGAATTTATTCAGGGGCGTTTGTTGATTTTGTTTTGTGACTACTGCCTCCATACTGTATGAAAAGTCCTATCAAAAACCAGTTGACACGTCTACTAAGATGAAATAGTTCATGCCTACTTAAGGCTCGTCTATGCGTTACTGTGAAACTGCACCTCAGTTCGTCAAGGTATTTAGGCCAACTCGAAATACAATGGTAGTGTCACTAGGACTATCCATAGAAGCCATTACACCAAACCTCAAAGGGTTTCTGTCCCAACAAAAACGACAGGATATATGCTAGGATATATGTAGAACAGGTTGTATCATGAATAGAGGCAACTTTTATGCAAAATTCAGAATATTTCTAGTGCATACACGCTATTTTCAACAAGACTGTCACATAAAATAATTGGTACTAATCTGAAAGACGATTCAGGGCCAAGTTATTCATTATCAGTATAAAATCTATTCTAATTGGATATGTTCTTGCCAAGCGTGCACAAGGACACTTGCTTCTCTAATGTTTTCAAATAAAACAATTAGGACTGTTCTCTGTATAATATGAGAACTTCAGAATTAGTTTCTTTATCTTCTGGAGACTCGTAGTGTACCCTTTGCTCATTCATTCATTCATTCATTCATTCATTCATTCATTCATTCATTCATTCATTCATTCATTCCCACTATACATGTAATTGCATTATTTGGACTTTTATTGTTAACTATATACCGGTAAGCATAACAATTAATGATTGTAAAAATGAACAAAGAACCTACTAATTGATATATTTGATTGGAATGTGTTTTGAAACATTGCCAAGTGTAACTAGCAATTTGTACATGTAAATTAGTTACCTGCTCATTTTATCTGTCTTTGCCTGGCTTTACCTCCCTAAAATATTTCTTCCTATAATAAAGTTTAGTTTCATGCGATATTTCAAATCTCAAAGTATTTACAATATCCATTTTTGTAAGATATGATGGCACGACAAGATGGCACATACATTTTGTAACAGAAACTGTATTTCAGGGCTATTTCTTATTGTCATGGCAATAATACGTCATATGTTTTATGAACCTAGACCTTGTCGAACTCAAGCACTTGTAACTTCTAAAGTTCCACAAAGTTGCATACATTAATCTTAATATGAATTTTGGCCATGCAGTCACCGGATCAACCCCTTTTTGAACTCTGGTCTACTGGTCATGGGTTTGTTTCAACAACAACTACACTACCAGCGATATCGATCAATGGTTGTTAAATTTGATGAAATCATCCATTATGCTGTGAAGTGGCTTTTCTAACATTTATTGAGTGTCAGTTGTGATTGCCCACACATGGTGTTAATCCCAGGATACATGAAATCACTGAAGAGAGACTCTCTGGAGTTGTAAATGTATTGTTGACTTCATGAATGATTGGTCATAAAAAAAAGTACAAAACATCAGAATGTCAATGCTTTGTATTTTTATTTTGAAAAACTAGAGCACTTTTTATTACGTATTTCAGTCATTGCCATGGAAACACAATGCAAGAAATATAACTTGATCAGCCTAGTTGAGTGGATTCTTACCTAATTGTGAATATCATGTTAATTACAACTTCAGTTGGTCTTTCAAGGATGTGTGTTAATCATTGAAATGAAAGAAAAACACATAATTGACATAGAACACACAATTATCGTAGATCAGACAAGTAGTTTATGACACAATAGTATGTCTTTCCTGAATAACCAATCCATTTCCACTAATGAGTCGTGATTAGTTGTGACACTAAATTACATTTGTGCTGTAATCGTGACTACAGCAAGTTTGCTCAAAGGAAATGCTTTAAAGAAGTGTAGTATTGCCTTTCTTTGGTAAACCAAACTAACCCTAACATTATGTTTTGCTTCAGGTACAATAAAGTACCATGCTCCTTTTCCTTTGTCTTCATGTTATCAAGAAGTATATACTACTGGTAGTTTTCACTTCTGGTATTAAATTTCAATCACTTTGCTTGACTGATTTCTTGGTTTTGTTTTGTGTATAATTCAAGACTGCATGACTAACTCAATACTAAGTCTCATTTGTTATGTCATTATCATAAAATTCAGCATGGTTACTGAACTGCTGTAAAGCTCTCTGTATATATGCATTCAACACATATTTATTTTCATAATATTACTTTAAATTGCTATTTCCCAGTCATATGTTTGATTCAGGTTTCAGAAATCTGGCCTTAAAATTTCTCAATTTCTTCACTGATAATTTATTAACTTACGCTTGAATATGTAAGGATGACTTGATTTTACATTCACTGATGTCTGGCTGTAACTCTTGATGAATTCTGGTTGCTTTCTTCTCCTTTATTCCCTCAAGACAGATAAGCCCCAAGTTAGATTACCATGGAGATGACCATCCCCTGTGTGACTCGATGAATTCACCGAGAACACCCAGGAACACCAATTATATGCATGGCTTCAAGCACTTTGTTGATGTTAAGAATGGAATTGACACCAATATTCCTCAGGCGATGGGTGTGACAGCTCAACCCCTTTAAGATGTCTGTCAAATTTGATGTCACAACTGTGAAGTCTATTTCATTATAGGTTTTTAAAATGTTTATTTGGAAATTTAGGTTCTGAAATAGCACTTTATGACACTAGCATTAAAGATGAAAACACCTTACTCTTCAATGATCTTGGCTGGATGTTACTGCTGTTGTAAAACAGGTTGACAGGTGTAGTCATGGTGAAATTAAACTGTTGTGATCAAAAACTCATTGGTGCTTCCATAATGTGAATGTGTGAAATTTCTTACCCTTGGAACCACAGACTGTCCTTTATTGCATGGTTGCATTTGGTCTACTTGGATGGAATATACGGCAACATTAAATTGAGTCTAGCTTACCGTAAAGATATCCTTCAGTTTTCTACACTTGATTGCGTATCGCTAATCTCTCAATCCTCATATTGACATTGACATCTTCATTAAGCTTTCAAAAATATTTCCAAACTAATCAACCTTCTTACTTTACAGTTGTCATTTATGTAACAGCAGTACATATTTTATTTCCAAGTGTCATGCAAGATAATTTGTATTCACAAGATCATGCATGTTTTATGTTCTTTTTAGTTAGGTGTATGTATATACATGTAGTTCTGTTTTTCTGTATCTAGGTCTAAACATTTTATAGCCAACATCTAACGACATACCTTACTTTCTAAGGGAAGAGAGCACTTGGCTTGCCTATCACGTGCCTGAACGCAGAAGGACTAATTAGCACTCTTTCAATCCATACCATTTTAAAGAGATTTTAGTAGCACAGCTCCCTTACTTGCTTTACTGTGTTTAGGAGAGTTATTTTTAGCTTCCATGACATTTTAAAAAGGCAAAGCCTGTTTAAATAATATACCATACCTTCATATGTTAATAGTCGGTTATTGTACCAGCTTTTGATTCAAACTACAAGAAAATTAAATATAACTATACAGACACTCAACTTCAAGGATAGTCCAAATGAATGGGGAAAAAATGCATCTGCAGGAAAAGTGTTAATGAAAGAACATATTATTATATGTAACAAAGTAAATTATATGTAATAAGTGAAAAGACTGCAGAGCTAAAAGAATTGAAATAAGTTTAATCTGATTTTCTGTCATGGTCACAATTTAAGTTACTATAAGTTATTTTGTTTCATGCATACTGTGCAACAAGCTTTCTGTGTTGTTACAGTTTAATGCTTCTTCAACTTGTCTGTGTGACCAACTTCTATTTTTCCCCATTTACTAGCTGACATGACTGATTCAAACCCCTGCTAATCTTGTATGATCCTGCAGCCAATGGCTGCTCTGTTATGTTTCCATGGAAACTGATTGTATTTGTGTTGCTTTGCATTTCATGTTTATTTAAATAAAACTGGCAATGGTTTAAAAAAAAAAAAATCAAAATACAGAAACTGTGGATGGTGTCGATTTTGAGAAGATAGACCTGTGTTTAAAACAGTCCATTTTCATTTGTTAGTATGAATTCTTCAACCTCCTCCGTTTATATAAACCTTCTTGTATGTTTACCTTGGTTACCGATACATTTAATATTAACCTCCCCCCTGTTTGTGCTTAATTACAGAGTCCACGAGATGCAATTCACCGAAATAGTCTTGTACATGAGAAGTACAATAAAACTATATCGCACAATGGTAAAGCTAAAACCTCAAATAGTAAAAAGAATTCAGAGAATCTACTTACAGAGGTAAATATTCAAATACGCTTTACATGTGTTTCCTAAGAGTAATGTTGTTGTCACCACACCAGTGTTGACACAAATATCTAATACACCTTTCCTATAAATCATATACCCTCTTGTTACTGAGCACTACCATGACGTCAAAATGACGTATATGAATGAAGGCAATGTCATTAAAATTGACAACTATGTTTGGTTGGGTAATCGTTCTTCATCTAGAATACAGTAAAATCACTCAAAAACAGGATCTTCATTGATGGATGTTGACAGATTAAAACAATATTGACGATTTTAATGGCTTTTGTTTTGCCTATTTACGTCATTGAAGCGCTTCGTCACTAGAGGGCACGATTACCTCGGCATGTGTACTGGAGAAAGTAAAATACGCCTGTTACATTCACCTGCCAATATTTAAGTCAGTGTTTGACAGTGATCACAGAGGAAGTACCAGAATGGTCTCTATTACTATTACGGCGAAACTTGGCCAATGCACCACAGTGATCACAGAGGACGTACCAGAATGGTCTCTATTACTATTATACGGCGAAACTTGGCCAATGCACCACAGTGATCACAGTGGACGTACCAGAATGGTCTCTATTACTATTACGGCGAAACTTGGCCAATGCACCACAGTGATCACAGAGGACGTACCAGAATGGTCTCTATTACTATTATACGGCGAAACTTGGCCAATGCACCACAGTGATCACAGAGGAAGTACCAGAATGGTCTCTATTACTATTATACGGCGAAACTTGGCCAATGCACCACAGTGATCACAGTGGACGTACCAGAATGGTCTCTATTACTATTATACGGCGAAACTTGGCCAATGCACCACAGTGATCACAGTGGACGTACCAGAATGGTCTCTATTACTATTATACGGCGAAACTTGGCCAATGCACCACAGTGATCACAGAGGACGTACCAAAATGGTCTCTATTACTATTATACAGCGAAACTTGGCCAATGCACCACAGTGATCACAGAGGAAGTACCAGAATGGTCTCTATTACTATTATATGGCAAAACTTGGCCAATGCAACACAGTGAACACAGAGGAAGTACCAGAATGGTCTCTATTACTATTATACGGCGAAACTTGGCCAATGCACCACAGTGATCACAGAGGACGTACCAGAATGGTCTCTATTACTATTATACAGCAAAACTTGGCCACAGTCACATCACAACTTGTAATGCTCAATTTATATTCAGAGCGCTTTATAGATGAATTGTTTTACACAAGCAAATATATGAGCAAGAGACTGGAAAATCTGTTTATTAAAAGTGATCAGTTTGGTTTTGAGCATCGTACTAGTTCAGTGTAATTACCACATTAACGAGTAGGGAGAGTTGAAGCATAATATTATTGCTCAGTCACATTTCATTTGAAACCATACTGGGAAAAACATTTGATCTCCACACATCGGAATTACTAACTTAACATATTGTATGTTTTCCCAAAAAGCTATAATGGCACATATTGACATTTTATTTTAATAGGTGACTTATGTACATGTATCATGAAAATAATACGCTTTTGTGTGTGTGTGTGTGTGTATGTGTGTGTGAGCGTTTCTTTTACCTCACTAGATTTGGTAGATGTTTGGAAAACTAGAATAATTTCATCAGTTATTAGGTTTAATTCCCATCGCCAGGGTATTTTGTCTGCTACACTCCAATTCCAAACATATTTTGACAAAATAGGCTGACAAGGCCTCTATTTGCGAACCATGCACAATTCATGAAAGCAAATCAACAGTTGTATATACCCTCATTCTAAAACATGTATGTACAAGTAGATTGACTGGTTCCCTGTGAAGGAAGAATGATGCACTTATTAATAGTGCATTTTCAAGCTACTGAATACTACAATGTAAGAGTATTTTGCCAGAGCTTTAATGTGGTAATCATCAGGTGAGGCAAAGATGCCTGATTATACAATGATGGATGTAAACAACAAAGTAATGAATTCCTGCACAAAGTAGTTAATTAGTAGTCATATCTGCATCATTGACTTCTCCATAGTTTTCAATATGTCTTGGTTTGACTTATCGGATAATTACATGGATTATGTTTCAGCAACATATATATTACATGTAGGTACTTATTTTGACCTCCTGCTTTTTTTTGTGTGCTCAATCAAGTTTTGTTATTGCGTTTCTTTATGAAGAATTGCCTTGAAGTCTTCACTTCATAGTAAACTCAGACAATTTTTATTAGCCTGTATCATCATAGATGGAAGGTAAAGGTATATATTGCATATTCGTTGTGTTGCAGTGACTCTGTCATGAAACTTTAAACTTGTGGTTACAGCAACTCAAACATCTTTTTTTCCAATTTCTTTCAAACTTGGATACTATGTTAACCAGTTCGGTATCTAGACCAAGTTCAATTCTGTAAAGTTCAATAAAAAAAATTAATTTAATTAATTAATTCAGTACATGTAGTATTATTTGAGTAGCATGAATATTAATTTATTTAATATGTAATTATGATGACTTCATTGTTCTTGTCCATTTTTGGCTAGAATTAGCCACACCTAAATGTTAGCCAGTATTTTTCACATAAAATGTTTAGATATATTATTGCATTTTTGCAGTTTTTCCCTGCAAAGAAAAGATTGTGCATTATTAGTTTGTATCAATCCATCTATTTGTTTTTTAATAAAGATTCTCAATGAACAAGATTGTAATAGTTACAGTTTTTTAATTTACAACTTTACCTTTAACAACTTTAATTGACTATGTAGTGCTTTGACATTTACATTTACTAAATAAAAGTAATTAATAAATGTACATAATAAATATGAAAGTTTAAGGGGTCAATATTGTAGTGCTTTTTTTAAAAAATTAATGACAGAGTTAACAGCTAATTTACATAATTTGAACAAATTAAGTTTTTAAACAATTGTCTTAATCACTTACACATTTGATACAGGACATAGGTAATTATTTTGTACTACCAATAATAAGTCATTGTCTTACAAGTATGAAAAACAATTCATTAATTCATAGTGACTTGTATATTATGCTCAGTGAAATCTAATTTGTTAGTTTCAGCATGTGTTAGAGCTATGAAATGTCCAAAAATCGTAGAAATAATTAATTATAATTTAAAAGCTTCTTTTCAATGTAATGTGATATTGTACTGTAAGAATTCTAAGCTTGAACTTGGCATTTTGAAGGCAAGTTTTTGCAATATAGATGCCTCATGCAGACTATTTGTTTGTACTTGTTGCCTGTTTTCAAGAAGAAGTCCATGGGCATCCAAGGGAAATGAAATGCACGCCAGTCCATAAGAACATTTTGAATAATTTACATTACAGTATTAGCTCTACATGTAAATAATAATAATATTAAATAATAATTTATTAGAAGTGCATGTGCGAATGAAATAGAGCAGAATAGATACAATATTCAATATTCAGATTTCACAATATGAACTTGTAAGCTATCCAATGAACAGTGTACTGTTAAGCTGTCTGCATCTTTTTCTTAGTTAGCTTGTTTTATCCTAAGCTGTTCAAATCTTAATTGTCATAACTTATTTCATCTTATTATCTAATGACGTATGGATAGTTAGTAGGGACAACCTAATAAGCCATTCAGTTTGATGTAGGTGAATAGAATAGAGTGAAATAGAAAAGACATCCAAAATACTGTAGAATACTTTATTTTCGCTTGGAATTTATTTTCGCTGAAGGGATTATTCCGTGAAAATAAAATCCGGTGAATATACATTTTTTCCTATATTTTATATTAATCTCATCAAAAATCAGTGAAAATAAATTCCAAGCAAAACGCCCAAAAAGCCTTTTCAGCGAAAATAAAGTATTCCACAGTATGCTGCATTAATATTGTAAAGATAACATTTCTTTTTTTTAATTCAATTATATATATATATATAAAATTATATATATATATATATAAAATGAATGTACATGAATGATCTGTTGAGGAGAGTTTGTCTGAAATCCAACCAAAGCAGACTTTTTCTCTCTCATGAAGTGCATCTTTATTGGAGGTGTAGTAAACATATGTTTTTGTAGAAGTGTGTGTGTGTGTGTGTGTGTGCGTGTGTGCGTGCGCGTGCGTGCGTGCGTGCGTGTGTGTGCACTTAGGTACCATTTCTATTTTAAAAATTGCTGACTGTAAATCAGGTAGTTTTTCGTCTTGTACATCTGCTTTGTTGGCGATACACTGACAGAACAGATAGTGTATATGCTGCTTCCTAAGAATGTATAAGGACCTTGAGTTATTTGTCTTGTTTGATAGACCTGCAGAAATACTAGACTTTTAAAAGAGCTGCCTACATTTTATACTTTGCATTGAAAGCAGATACAAAAGAAATACATTTCAAAGATTGTTCTTTAAAAATTGATTTCTAAAGAATTTCTGGAAAGGTGAGATGATAAACTATACAAAAACTGGCGAAGAAAGGAAAACTGTTGTAAATAGATGAGACAGTATTTAAAATCACAAGAACACAGAGGTAGATGAATTCAGTGTGTTGTCAATGCAAAAATTATCTTTTTTTTTTCAAATCAGGCTTGTGCATTCCAAAGTCCAGTAATAATTAACCTATAGCCTGTTACTGCAACTCCATGTACGTTTTGTGGCCTGCATTTCTTTTCATATATTCCTTGGCATTGGAAGTTTGACAAAAATGTGCATGTTAATAAATAAATCCAGTTATGATGCTCTGATGGAATGAGGCTGTTGTAATTAGTATAGTACATGCTCTTGCATATATGATAGACATATGTCTAGGTTCAAAATAAGTCATATTTTTATAACAAATATTTAATATACAATTTAAAATTAGCAATTTCTGGTTTACCTTTGTTTCTATTGGATAGATTTCGGTACACTAGTATGAAGCTAAAAGTACAAGACTTAAATGTAAGCATTCTAAGATCGAAGAAGGCAATTGTATTTTCAATTGCTCAAATCCCCCCCAAAAAAAGAGATTAATAAGGTTGATTGTACCTTGCATGATTTTTAATAACAAAAGTGAGAGATTAATGGAATACTACCTCAATGAAATGAATTCTATGGTTACTCAGAACACACCTGTGTGACGTTTTTTAAGATGATTGTGCTGTAACCTTGATCCTAGCAATTTCTTTTTTCAGTACTTTGATTCCAATTTATATGTGGGATCATTATTCTATTTGTATCTCAGTTGTAAGATTAACTCCCAATTTCACAAAAACAAAATAACATTCCTTTCACTAGTCCTCTAGTCTTGTGATATGCATCAATGCCAGTCATCATTCACAAAATCTATCGACCATTAAAGCATGCGCATGCATGACACAGTGAATGAAAATAGAAATAACAAACGTGTTGTTGTGACTGAAACACAGCCTCCCTTGTTCTGAAAGTTAAGCAACTCAATAATATATATTTGGGTCAGTACAACCTAATTACAGAAGTGTCAATGTAATAAACTATTTTATGTCTTCAGTATATTGACATCTTGTCTATATAAATAATGATTTCATTACTATAAACGCAATAATTTTTATTTCAATTCTCCACTTGTTTTTTAGCTCCGCTGTCGACTTTGTCGAGCGGAGCTTATCATATGAGTGATTGTCCGTCGTCGTCAATGTTTTACTTTTTCGCCTTCTTCTTAAAAACTACAAGCCTGAATGCTTTGATACTTGGTGTGTATGTACCTGGAGTAGACCTCTCTTAGATTTGTTCATTTCATGATGACAATTCTCTAATTTTGGTGAATACTTTTGTAATTTTTGGTAAAAAGTGATATTTTTGACTTCTTGTTAAAAACCGCAAATCCAATTGCTTTGATATTGCATATATAGATGCTACATGTGGACCTTTCTCAGATTTGTTCATTTCGTGATGATATCTTCAATTCTCTAATTTTGGAGAATATTTTTGTCATTTTTGGTAAATAGTGATATTTTTGACTTCTTGTTAAAAACCGCAAGTCTAATTGCTTTGATATTACATATCTAGGTACTACATGTGGACCTTTCTCAGATTTGTATCATTTTGTGATGATATCCTCAATTCTCTAATTTTGGTAAATATTTTTGTCATTTTTGGTAAATAGCGATATTTTTGACTTCTTGTTAAAAACCGCAAATCCAATTGCTTTGATATTACATATATAGATACTACATGTGGACCTTTCTCAGATTTGTTTATTTCATGATGATATCTTCAATTCTCTAATTTTGGAGAATATTTTTGTCATTTTTGGTAAATAGTGATATTTTTGACTTCTTGTTAAAAACCGCAAGTCTAATTGCTTTGATACTATACATATTGTTCATTTTCTAATGATATCTTCTGTTCTTTAATTGAAATGTGCCTTGCTAACAGAGGAGCTATCTCAGCCGAGAGGCTACTTGTTTTAGTTTAACAATAGTTTTAATTTGCATATTATGCAATGTCACTCTCAAACATGCCAATCAATTGATCAATTCCCATTTCCTATGTGAAAAAAACAGCGAAATTACACACCAGTTTACATTGTCAGAATATCAACCATATAACTATACTCTGAGTGACAGAATCAAACTAAAAATTACAGACACATAACATGTACAAACATATAAACATGATCGAAACACAAGATTTGAACTACTCTGCAAATGCACCTTGCTACTGTATTAGACACGTTCCCTGTTCCCTCAAATTCTTTTTCAGCAGATTTGTCAGAATGTGTTAATACCATATGTATTCAGTCATATGTGAATAATAGGCAGTCATTTGGCTTTAAAATAGGAGTTTTAGACAGTTCACAGTGAAAAAAAATAAATATTGATATTCCACATAATGGTTTTAATTTTGTTGGTAATAAAAAGTATAGAAAAATATTTATTTTATAGATTATTCACAGTTCTTTCATTTTTGCAAATGAACATTTTCTTTCTTTGAAATATTCTTATTCTGTTTTTTCTAAGCTATTCATTTAACATATTGTTAACCAATGAAAAAAAAATTTTTATTTCTAAAGATGCAACAAAGATATTATCATTAAATGAACGCTTTGTCCAATAATAACAACTTATTGTCAAAACAGAGTTTGTCTATTCACGCTAGTAACAATAAATGTTATTTTTGAATAAATGTAGGCAGAAAAAAACTACAAAAACATACATTTGCCTCTAATTTAGGTGTTGGAAGGATTGATATATTCCACCTAAATTAGAAATTACTTATTTGTAATGTGCTTTTTATATTTCATTGCAGACTAAGTTACCGTCCACAACGTCAGGCACAACATTTCCACAAATTACACACAAAACTACTAGCAATGTGGAGACACTACCACATCTCAGTAACACTTACGGCAATATCATGGGACAGCAGCAACAACAAAATAGTAGGCCAAACACTTATATGTAAGTATGAATAAACTAAATGTTATGTATTTAAAGCAGGTGACAAAATAAACAGAAAACCATTATCTCCCTATCAATGTCTCTTACAATACTGTAGAATACTTTATTTTCGCTGGAATTAATTTTCACTGAAAAGGTTTTTTGGGCGTTTTGCTTGGAATTTATTTTCACTGATTTTTGATGACTTTAATGTGAAATATAGGAAAAAAAGTATATTCGCTGGATTTTATTTTCACGGAATCATCCCTTCAGCGAAAATAGCGAAAATAAATTCCAAGCGAAAATAAAGTATTCTACAGTATCCATTCTTATCGGTGTTTATTTTGACTTGGCCACTTTGCAGTTCTATCAGCGGTCATTCCTTGAGCGCTACAACCATAGTTACCAGAAGTGCTAGGCAGTAAAAATTATATACAGAATACGCTGTTTTTTTTCTTCAGTTTTTCGTTAAAATTTTCGTTCTACTTACATAACACATGTGTTATGTTATGGATGAAAATTCAAATTATGGTTGTAAATATGGCTGAATATCATGTGACATATTGTCATCCATATTGAAATTACAGATTACAGTGTAGGGATTGTGAAATGCATGTATCACAAAAATAGTAATCATAGGACCATTCTACAATGAATTATGTGATAACAAGCATACGATTTAATTTCAAATTTAGACACCCCAATCAAATTTAGTGGTACTTTCGATATGTAAATTTTCAATGGTTGAATGCAAATTCATAACAAACACTGCAAATCTCCAAACTACTATTGCAATGTATCAAGGAAAATACATGCAATATTATTATAGCACTTTCCTGAACTATGTATATTGATCTTGAACATGAATGTTGAATTTTACTACATGTATGTTTATACTATTTCTAGCGTACTGATATGTCAATGATAATTGTTTTTGGTTCCTTAATAGAGATAAAGATGATAGACTTAGAAGAGATCCTAATGGAAATAAATTACCTTTATCCCCTGCAGGTATTTATGTTCATATTATATTAATATTGCTGTCTACATTTGCACCTGAACATTGCAAATGTGTCAAGAATGCATGGGGTGCTATAGCTAGAGGGCTGTGGTTGTGGCTGTGGCCAGATTAAAACTTGCATGCACCAGGAGAGAATATTAGGTTATTGGAAAATCATTGTTTATCAAAACAAATCTCACATGTGAGTCGCGCAATAACCACTGCCCTTTAAACATATAATGGCTTGTTATACGTGTATATACATAGTCTGGCATGAGGACATGAATGGGATGTCTTTTAAATAGTGTCAATATCTAGACAACAGTGTTTGAAATACCAAACATATAGCTAATTAGTGGTCTTCTTAATCACTAATTAAAGTGTAAATATTATGCAAATTAGCTGCTATATATAGTGAAAGTGTGGACATTCAACTATTGTATAAACCCCGCCACCACACTCCCTCACAACCACCCCAAACTCACCCACACATCCACCCCAAACACACCCGCACATCCACCCCAAACTCACCCACACATCCACCCCAAACTCACCCGCACATGCACTGCAAATTGCTGCTATGCAATATGTAACACTGCTATAAAGTCCATAGTTGCTCACAAAAATCACAAATCACGTATTTTAGAGTACACATTGCTTTTGAAACCCATGAACTTATAAGAACTAATTAAGTGTTTCATTTGAGAAGCTTGTGGTATACCTTATTTTTATTTTTAGAAACCATGTCTGTTGACTTCACCTAATAATATTTAATAAACCCGAGAATACTTATATTATCAGAATCATGTTACACAAATTTTGAAAAATGCATTGATTTTAGAGTTAGTATAATTTATAAAATAAAACTAGCAAGTGACTTGTTATTATGGGCTATTTTTTTTTTTAGCAGACTTTCTTCTTTTTGTACATTATGACCTGTTACGCTTTATGGCTTTTATTCCTTTCTAATTTTCAAGAAACTTCCTTCTATTAGAGAGAACATCATTAGACTAATAAATATAGCTATGGTATCCGGGCCCCACTATTCTTATCCCGTTAAAGTTACAAACAGACTGAAATGGAGAAAAGTCATCAATAATGTATGCTGTTTTACCTCTTTATCAGTGTAAAATGGAATTTTGAATATTACCTGCCTAACATAGTTAATTAAGATAAAAGCCAAATGTCAAAAAGCTTTCTTGATTACTTACCTATTTCTGTCATGATTTATAGTTGTTTTAAAATGTGTTTTTTTCCATCTCACAGAGACATTAAGGTTATACCGATCTAAACTAACAGCATTTGAGCAGAATGAAGTTCTGGAATTTCCGGATACATGGTTTTTAGGGTTAGAGGCTAAGAAGGTAGAGGGAGTTCAAGGTGCTTCACAGAACAACAGTTATGATGATGAAAATGGTTCTTACATTAAGGTAAGTTACTATATAACACAAGAAACACCATCTTCATTGCAATGCTGTCATAATGGCTGTGAGCATGTCTTAATTTACTTTATTCAGAGGAGTTTGTTGTATACAATCGAAAGTCCATTTTATTTTTAATCTGCTACTCTGATTTCTTTTTTCTTTTCACATTTCAAAACTGTTATTTTTAATTTCGTCGTTTAGACTGTTGAAAAAATATTTTATTTTCAATGAAATGCACATTTTAGTAAAAAAAATTGCATATTTTGTCTAGTTCACACTTCAAGACTTGTGTTGACACGCTAACCACCCCTCCCATGTCAAATTAAACTGGTTAATTTATTTCTATTTTCATAAACCTGAATGTTTTTAGAATATGGCTTTTTCATTCTTATTAAGCTATACAAAATCCAGTAGTTACACAAAAACTGACAGGAAATATAATGTAAAGTTATAATTTAATCATCATGTAGAAGTGAGTGACACATTAAACAACCAATTGACTCACATTTTGATACAAGAGAACTGTTATTCAGAGTAGAGTTAAATAGATCTAATTTCAACACAAAATGGAACACTGATGGCACGCATTGAACAGGTGCTGTCATTAACTGTAGAGGGGTTGGGTGATTAGCAGTGAAAAAAATGAACGAAATACCTAAAGTACAACAGTGTAGTAACACGCAGAGAATTCTAATGATATAACTGAAATACCACATACCAATACAGATTATACTGTAACCATAGTTACAACATTGTATTCAAGTAGCCTGTTACTGTTATTCTAATTATGTATTCACTGTCCATGAAATTCAGATTGTATTCCATCTCAAAGGTAGCAGGAATTTTCTCTGATGAAGAGCAAATGAATAATTCAATATGATATCTGTGACTTTTTATATAAACAAACATCTTAATTTTGTACCTGGAAGGTTTCATAATTAACAATCATAATTGGCCCTTTCAGTTAGTTAAATAACAGAAGGAATTAAAGATGTATTTAGCAAACAAAATTTTGACGTTAAATGATTTTGCTCCATGTAGGCATACAATGCATGCGATTTTCATTTTGTGCACTTCTCGAGAAATGCATTTCAAATAGACCCGGTGTTTTTTTTGCTTAGATTCACAGAGATAACAAAATTGCATGAGCCTTTTGTTTCTCACTGCTGGAAGTACTTTTATGAGTCATTGTATAGATATTATTTCAATAAATCTTTCCTTAATTGGGCAGATAGTTGAAAGAGTTATCTTGGTCTTTTCTTCATGATCGACTTAATAGTGGTTGTATCTAGCAAAATCAGGAGAATAAGAGAACAAAAAATGACTTTCCCAAGCTTGGCATTTTGCTTACGTTTAAAAACGAATTGGTGTAAATTTAATTCAAAAGTTATGCAATATTTTGACCATTAATAGTGATGGTAATCAGCAGGACTTCTGTAAAACCACTGGCCTTGTGAATTCATATTCATTTTCTTTTTTGATTAATTTATTTGTCTTTCAAAATAATGTCATTTTGAAAACATATAGTTTTAATATTTATGTCTTAAGATGGCTGTACTACCAATTTATTAGTTATTTTGTGAAATACTATGAAATAATTTATTTTCACTGGAATTTATTTTCACTGATTTTTGGTGACTTGAATGTAAAATGTAAGAAAAAAGATAATATTCGCTGGAGCGAAAATAGCGAAAATTAATTCCAAGCGAAAATAAAGTATTTTACAGTATTTTATTATTCATTTTCTTTTGCCCTATCATAAATTTTAATTTAATAGCAATAACAACGAGATCAATAGGGCTAAGCACAGTTACTAAAAAAGTAACCGTGGGCTAGGTGATCAGTCTTTGGTGGGTGAATAATCAAACACTTGGCGAATTCGGCTTTGAAGTAATTGTTGTGAATTTTTTGATTTTTCAGGTGCTACATGATCATTTAGCCTATAGATATGAAATTTTTGAAGTTATAGGTAAAGGTTCTTTTGGTCAAGTTGTAAGGGCTATAGATCACAAAACAGGGCAGGTGATTGCAGTAAAAATTATCAGGAATAAGAAAAGGTAAGAAATGATACACATTGATACAGGTAATGAAGGTTTGGTGCAACATTTAAAATTGTGATTTGTTTGCCATATACGCACTTGCATCAGCAGCCATGGCTGATTTTTCGGTAAGCATTTCTAAATAAATGACTTTATTCTTACCATCTTCTATTAAACTAAGCTGCTGTACTTCAACAACACAATTTCCTGGAGGAAATCCATTTTAATTTAGCAAATAATGCTTCCTTATATGGTGCCAAAGTTTACTATGTTTTAAATAAAGATCATTTTCTGCTGTATAGCAGTTAAAAGTAATATTATTTCGTTCAATTTCATTACTAAATGACATGTATGTGAATTCTTGATCATATAGACCTGATCAGTTCTTTTCACATTGCCTCTTGTTGTATCTGTTTCATGAATCCCAACTAGTTGGTATATAAGATATAATTAAGGCCAATCCCATATGATACTCAAAGACATGTACAAATAATGATAATGACTAATGTGCTTTTCTATGGCTGGTATATTCATTATTGTTATTATGGCTTTGTAATCCTTTTCATGTTAATTAAAGGTCGAATACAAAAAAACACAATGTTATCATTTATACTTATTTGCCCTCTCTCGCTAGAGTGTGATGTGTTATATTTATAACTGTCCAAAACCTGAATTATTGTTCTTGAGATGATTTTGCTTGTAGCAAACCTAATAATTATGCACACAATTTTACCTTGAACTTTTGGGGGGACTTTTTAGCTTTTTCCATATATGTCTTTTTATTAGCCAGTATTGCAAACAAGGCTTATAGATTGAATTGCTCTTGGTTGTAGTTATGGGGCTCTTTTACAAAAACAATATTTAGAAGTGTGGCTACGGTATTTAGTTTGCTGCTAACAGTCAATAGAGGGCAGTATGTTTCCAATGTTGAACACATTTGCATGTCGGCACAGAATAGGCGATAATTTACTTTAAGCGAAGTCCATTTAGCTTATTGAGTTTTATACTGTGGAATACTTTATTTTCGCTGGAATTAATTTTCGCTGAAAAGGCTTTTTGGGCGTTTTGCTTGGAATTTATTTTCACTGATTTTTTCATGAGTTTAATGTGAAATATAGGAAAAAAAGTATATTCACTGGATTTTATTTTCTCGGAATCATCCCTTCAGCGAAAATAGCGAAAATAAAGTATTCTACAGTACTAGTTTTAAACATTTCTATGTGTTAGGAGATTGGGTGCTGTAAATATAAACTTCTTTTAAGTATATAGATCTACCTTGTAAAATCTGTTTCTAACACCAGAACACATGCATATATGCACACACAAGAACTGTTGTATTAACAGTTATTTTGTATTGACTTCATTAACAAAACGTTGACTTTTTTAGGTTTCACCACCAAGCTTTGGTAGAAGTCAAAATATTAGATGCACTAAGGCGGAAAGATAAAGACAACTCCAATAATGTTATACACATGTTAGAATATTTTTACTTCAGAAATCATTTATGTATCACGTTTGAACTCATGGGGTAAGTTTTAATTATATTTTTTTCAAATTAGTTTCTGTGTTTCATGCTCTCTTTGATTTATTTAAATACTATCTGTGGGGTTCAGATACTACAGACATATTCATATTACTGTGAAATACTTTATTTTAGCTGGAATTAATTTTCGCTGAAAAGGCATTTTGGGTGTTTTGTATGGAATTTATTTTCACTGATTTTTGACGAGTTGAATGTGAAATATAGGGAAAAAAGTATATTCGCTGGATTTTATTTTCACGGAAGCATCCTTTCAGCAAAAACAGCAAAAATAAATTCCAAGCGAAAATAAAGTATTCTACAGTATATATCTATATTGACCTAGAATATGTGTGTAGGTGTTCTTGATCAATCTAAGAATCAATATTGGATATATTGATTCTAGATCTGGAATGCCTTGATATAATGCCGATTTTGATACAGAAATAAACTTTTACTACTGTAAAATCTGTATTAAAAGCCACATCTCTAATAGAAGTCGCACCCATTCTTTTTGAATAATTTAGAATAAAAAATTCATCATTTCTCATATGTGTAGATGCTCTAATAGAAGCTGCACCCCCTCTGTTGCATTGTACTATTTTAATAGAAGCTGTGGCTTTTAATACAGATATAACAGTACTACTTTTTCTATTATTTTCAATGACTCTGTAAATCCTGATTAACAATAATTACTGTATCTTTTGTGTTCAATTATCCTTACCTACAGCTATAGTTTAACAAATTATTTTATATTTTGTACATATATTAATTAAATATTTCATACTTTTTCTCTTGCAGAATGAATTTATATGAACTTATAAAGAAAAATAATTTCCAAGGATTCAGTGTAGCTTTGATACGAAGATTTGCATTTGCATTGCTACAGTGTCTAAGGCTACTTCGCAGAGAAAAAATAATTCACTGTGACCTCAAACCAGAGAATATTTTACTTAGACAAAGAGGACAGAGTCAAATTAAAGTGATAGACTTCGGTTCAAGTTGTTATGAACATCAAAGAGGTGAGAGTTTACAATTGTAACCTGTTCTCTGAATATTTACTGACTGTCAAGTTTGATTCATATAGTTTGTTTTTAGAAAATAAAATAAAAATTAGCATTTCAATATTTACATTGCCCCAGTGTAGTTGGATAGGTGTGACCACATTTGTCATTTCGAGTGTTCTCATATGTCACACACTTGCCAGACTTGTTATCTTGGTAAAATTTGGAAATGCTCTCATCCTGAGATTGATCTGTTAATGTGAATGTAATGGTAGAAGCCATTTTTGTGTTATACTTTTTTAGAACTTGTTTTTTTGTAATGTAGAATTTTTATTTAATACATTAATTCAGGCAAGTGACTTCCAGTAGTAGAATGTGTGTCTATGTATGTAAAATAAGTTATAATGATTCAGTATATAAAATAAATTTTGTGCTTTATATGCTTTTGATGGTACATATATGGATAAATAATGACAAATAACAGAACAGAAATTCAAGTTTCACTAATTCTTAAAAAGATACTGCTTGGTGTGATACAAAGAACTACTGTAAAATACTTTATTTTCGCTTGGAATTAATTTTCGTTATTTTCGTTGAAGGAGTAATTCAATGAAAATAATATCCAGTGAATATACTATTTTTTCTATATTTTACATTCAACTCACCAAAAATCAGAGAAAATAAATTCCATACAAAACACCCAACAAATCTTTTCAGTGAAAATTAATTCCAGTGAAAATAAATTATTTCACAGTACTTAAACCGCGGGTCTGGGTGTATAAAAGGAAAGATGGCCGCCACTTT